CCCCGAACACCAGAGACGACTGGGTGACGCCTTTGTGGCTGGCGGCTTTGGTCACATGTCCCATCCGGGATGAGGGAGAGACATAAAGAGGTAGAGTTAGAGAGTCCAGGTAGGGCCCTTTCCGGGGGCCCCTCCTGCAACTCACAGGACACAGTCTGTTCCCTCAGAGAACAGCCAGTGCCAAGAGCAAAGGTGACAGCAGCTGCCACTCACTGAGCGCGACCTATGGGCAAGCGCCACGCTGGCATGGCAGCCATCGCCCCCACCAGATGGGTCCAGAGCCTGCCACCCCCACCCCATTTGCAGGAAAAGGGGCACCCCGTTGCTCAGAGAGTAGAAGGCAAAGTTGGGACAGAACAGGTCCTCCCCGTGAGGGTAGCGTGGAATCACCCAGACATGTGCTCCCCCCACCACCTCTCTGCCTTGGAGAGCTGAGCCACTGGCTTCAGACCTGCCCCCGGGGGCCTCGGTCTGGGCAGGAAAGCTGGGCTGCCCCCCCCAGCCCCTCCCTTCCCTTCCGTGAGGATGTGGTCAGCGCTCAAAATCAGCACTGGGTCTCCTCCAAACTAAGCGGGGCTCAGCCGGCCCCCGGAAGACACTGGCGAAAAGACGGAAGGTTCCAGGGGCTCCTTGCCTGGCTTCTCCAGACAAGGCTCAATGTGCAGCTTTAGATGCAGCCTTCTGGAGCTCCTCCCAGTCTCTGAACTACGGGCTTTCGCACCCAGGAGGAGGGCCAGTGGGTGGCATGGGTGTGCCTGTCATCATGATGCGGGACCAGTCACTCTCCCCAGCCCACGCTGGGGGCGGTGCGTGCCACCACAAGAACAGTCCTTCACCCTCCCTGTCAGGGTCTCACCACGCACCCAGCACAGCCCCCCGCCCAGTGTGAGAGGGTGAAGGGAGGCCCCGGCAGGGGAGGTGTGGGGAGGGGCCGGTCGCCTCCCTCTGTGTTCTTGCTGCACCCTGCAGTCCGGCTCTGCCTCCGGCTCACCCCTGTGATTTGTTTCTCCTCTGAGGGTGGTTATAGGGTCCCGTCCCCTTGGCTGGGAGCGTGTCCCCTGGGGCTGTATGTGTGCACAGTCGGCGCCCCTGCCTGTCCCCACCCCCGGCCTGCTGAGTCAGCCTCTGCTGCTTCCCGGCAGCCAGCTCCAGTGCCGTGCCCACCCCGCCCTCACCCCCGACGTGCGCTGACCCTGTCCCCTGTGTCCACAGGTCTACGCCATCCTAGTTAGCCACCCACCTACCCCCAACGACCACTTCACTCCCACCCCCGTCTCCTACACAGCCGGCTTCTACCGCATCCCCGTCCTGGGGCTGACCACCCGTATGTCCATCTACTCAGACAAGGTAAGCCTGACCACTCGGTGGGGACCCAGCTGGCTCTGTTCCTGTGTTCAGACCCAGTGGCCGCCGGAGGCAGCTGCCCTGGGGAGGGGGAGGAGGCCGGGCAGGCACCACGCAGGCCGGGCGGGGCACAGACGTGCGCGGACCAGGGGCTCCGGGCTCAAGGAGCAGCAGGGTGATGCGTGAGCTCACGCGTTCAGGCATGTGCACACACTCGTACCCATACCCATAGCCTGAGACGCAAACTCATCCACACGCAGGCACCTACACACCAGCACAGACTCAGACGCACAGAGTCACGGGTACAAACAAACCCACACACTCGCTCGCGCCCACACGCATCAAGTTCATGTGCACACGAACACATTCACACGGACACTTGTGTGCTCTGACACGCGCACGCATATTACGCACGTTGACGTGCACAACCACATCATCACACACTTGCGTTTGCACTCACGCACACACTCACACTCCAGCACACAGACCGACCATCACAGGCAGCACCCTCACGCACTCACGCACACGCACACGCACACGCTCACCCTGGCAGGTGTCCCACTGGCAGGTGGCAGGCACGAATAGCAAGCCCTTGGGAGCAGCAGAGGTCCCCGTGGGCCGGGAGAAGCCCTCCCCACCGCAGGGCACAGCTGAGAAGGATGTGGGCACGCGCGCAGGGTAACAGAGGAGGCGGCTTGCGGCAGGAGAGCCTGGCCTGGGGTCTGCAGGCCCAGGGCCGGGAACAGCACCAGTCGGCAGCGCGTAGAGCCCTTGTGGTCCCCAGGAGGGGTGTGGGGGAGCCATCCGGTCCTGGAGTAGCAGCTGGAAAGGCCAGGAGGCCACTGGGGTGGTTTCCCACAGAGGTGGGGAACTTGTTCGAGGTCACGCTGCTCTCCCACGGCGTCTGCTCGTGATTCCGGGAGGACTCATCAGCTGGGGGTGCCACTAGCCACCAAGAGGCTGGGAGGCCCCCACAGCCTGGCCCACACCCTCCTTCAGACCTTGGGCTTACCTGCAGACAGGTCGGGAGGGGCCGGAGGAGGGGCCGTGTGGTGGGGGCTGCCCGGTCTCCCCATCCCCTCCAAGTCCGTCTTGCTGGGAGCCCACAATTCTAGACAAAGCCGCCTAAGGCACGAGGTCATCCCAGCCAGGGCCAAGGGTGTCTGGGGAGGTCAGGGATGTGTGTGTCCTGAGGCTCTGGGAACCCTGGCACGCAGCCGAGGCACCCAAACTGTTCAGATGCACTTGCCCTCAGCTGCAGAGAAGTGGGGGGTCCTTTCCTGGGCCCCCCAACCTTAGCTCTCTGGCGCCAGTCCTCCCACATGTAGAAGGAGGGAAAGCGGCCGACAGGCCACCTCACAGGCAGGGAGGAGACACCCTCTTCCAGGGCAGAACCCTAGCCCAGACCCAGATTGTGGCCCAGCTCCCTGGTCCAGTATGAGGTCAAACCAAATGACCGAACCTCACAAATCCAGCCTGGCCCCACTCACCATCCCGGTCCACTGCGAATCTGTGCCCAGCACTTGGACCACGAAGGCCTGGGTCAGAGTCAGTCCAGGACCCCAACCATAACCCCCTTGTAGCCACGTTGTCTACAAGTGGATGAGGGACAGAGGCAGAGGGGCATTCTCACAGCCAGGTTCCAAAACATTGCCCCTCGGGTCACAACGAGGGAGCAGGTAAAAGGCTAATCTGGACGTCTCAGAGGACCACAAGGTCACCGTGGGTCTGCGGGGTCACCGAAGGGGCTAACACAGATGACCTAGGCCGAGGAGGGCTGCACACATGCTGTGTCCTGCCACGCCCCTGGCTGGCTGCTAATATTTGCACACAGAGGGGCGCCTGGGGGGCTCAGTCCATGAGCCTCTGACTCTTGATTTCGGCTCAGGTCATGATCTCACGGCTCATGGGTTCGAGCCCCACACTGAGCTCTGCGCTGATGGTACAGAGCCTGCTTAGGATCCCTTCTCCATCTCTGTCTGCCCCCCGCCCCCTGCTCACTCTCGTGCGCTCTCTCCCTCTCGAAAATAAATACATAAACTTAAAAAAAAAAAACTTCAAAAATACGCACACAGAGAAGTAAGGCAGGGTCAGCAACCAATAACCCCTGGACTTGAAGAGAAGAAATATTTAGCCCCAAATAAAGATTTCCTGACAAATACTACAGTTATGCAAATTTGGGAAGCTCCCCAAGTCAGTGGGAACTTTCTTGAGCCCAGGCTGTCTGGCAGGGGGTGGCTGGTCGCCTCAGGAACAATTCCACGGAGGCTGTTTCTGAGATTAGATGACTTGGGGGTGGGAGGGGGGAGGGAGGCAGCAGTGGGAGTAGGGTCCCCGCGTCTGGCAGGTGTCCCCCAATGGTGCGAGGGTAGGGGTAGGAGGAAGCAGGGTCTCCAGCGGCAGGAGGGCAGGCCGGCACAGCGCCCCCCGCTGGCCGCGGGCTCAGGTCTCCGTCGTCCCCGAGGCCCCTCAGCCCCCTCCGTGTCCCCGGGAGAGCGCCCCCACCGCTGGCCGCGGGCCGAGGTCCCGTCCCCGAGGCCCCTCAGCCCCCTCCGTGTCCCCCGCAGAGCATACACCTGAGCTTCCTTCGCACGGTGCCGCCCTACTCCCACCAGTCGAGCGTCTGGTTCGAGATGATGCGCGTCTACAGCTGGAACCACATCATCCTCCTGGTCAGCGACGACCACGAGGGCAGGGCCGCCCAGAAGCGCCTGGAGACGCTGCTGGAGGAGCGCGAGTCCAAGGTGAGGCCCGGGCCGCGGGCGGGAGGAGCAGGAGGAGCCGAGGCGCCGGAGGAGCGGGAGCAGGAGCCGGCGCGCTGCCTGCCGCTGTGTCTGTGGCCCGTGTGTGAACACCCTTTCTTTCCATCGTGCATGGTCAGCACCACTACGTCTGGCGAGCGCCCGCCCCAGCCTGTTCTCGGCTCATTTCACTCGCTTTGCCATTAGTCGAAATCTCCTTCGTGTCAGTCCCTGCGGGGCGAGGGCAGGACCACCTGGAGCTCCGCAAACACCCCCCCCCCGGCGCCCGCGCCCGACGGCCAGGCCCCGGCTCGGCCCCTCCCACTCCCCAACCCCAGCGGCCTCAGGGCCACAGCGGCCCCCGGCGCCAGGCCCCTCACCAAAGGACCCTGTACCCTCGCTGCTGTGACGCGTTCCGCGTCCGCAGGCCTCGCCTCCCCCCCACCCCGCCCCCCACGCTGCCCGCCCCCTCTCAGCTGCCCATTGTCCTCACCAAAGCTCATCCAAGACATCTGCCACCCGGACCCCTCAGCCTGGGCTCTGCCCCCTTCAGGCCTCCCCCTCGGCTCCCCTCCCCACTGAGCCCCTTGCGGGTCCCCTCCTCACCCCCACCCTGGGGCTGGGCTCTGGACCCCTCCAAGAGACACTGGCCGACCAGCCCCAGCCTGGCGCCCGCTCTGGGGCTGCAGAGAGAGCAGAGTGGCAATTTCTGGGGGTCCAGGTGACCCCCATCCCCACCCCCACTGCCAGCCTGAGGAGGCCCAGGGTCCCGCCTTCACCCAGCACAGAGCCCTGGGTGCTCAACACCCGTGCCACGGCCCCTAAGTCAGGACGAGGCCAAGCCGGGCAGAGAGGGAGGGAGGCCTAGGCTGGGGCGGGCCCTGGAGGCCAGACCAAGGGGGTGGCGGGAAACACGTTCGGCCTGTGGAGTCAGAGCTGGCTTCAACAAACTTAGCGCCAACCCCAGGCCCCTCGTAGGCCCCTGAAGGGAGTAGAGGGCACCGGCTGGGGTGGGCGGAGCCAGAGGGCAGACTCAGAGGGTCCTGGGGGGGCCCTGCTGTGGGACACTGAGTCTGAGAGGGAGGGCTGACCACCAGCGTCGTGGGCCCCACCCCTCCCAAGACAGCATCCCCCAGCGCCTGGCAGGCCGGTCACCTCCTGGCGTGCCCACCCGTGGCCGCACACACTCACTCGCACGCTCACCAGCCACGTCCCTGCACATCCACCCATGTGCACCCTTGGTCACGGGGACATGCTATCGTTCCCAAGACAGTCCCTTCACACCTCACATCGCCCACCACACGCTGAGACCACAGCTGGGCACACACATGGGCATGCAGCCCACGGGCACACTCACCCCCCCCGGCTCACGCACATGCACATGCTTGCACACACACGCGCGCGTGCACACACACACACACACACACTCCTATCATACTCGCTCTCCAGTGCACACGTGGGCCGACGGGTGTGCACACACCGGTCAGTGAGAACAGGCACCTGGGCCGCTAAGGGAGACAGAAGGGAGGACGCCACGGGCGGAGGGACAGAGGGGACAGGGCATGAGGGAGGGGCTGCTCACCCCCCAATTCAGGACCGACCGGGGCGGGGTGGGTACTGCTGGGGCCACACGGCAGGTGCATGGCAGGGGTCGGGAGGGCAGGCGGGACCCCAAAGGGACACGTTTGGTGTGGACACAGACAGGGCCTCCCTTTCTCCCAAGTATGACCGTGTCCGAGAGCACAGCTCCGTGGCCGGGAGCCCCGGTGGCCCCCGTGCCCCCTCGTCCCCAGCACCGCCCTGGCCCCCAGCCCCGCTCGGGCCTAGGTGTTTGCGAGCTCCAGGTACGTGCCCGTCTGCAGACGTGCCGAGGAGGTGGTGTGATTGCTTTAGCGCCGTCATTTCAACCGTTTATAATCTTCTTCTGTGTCTGCATATTTTCTCTGTGCACATTATTCATCAGAGTAAAAAAAGGAACTATGAAAACCTCGACCAACTGTCCTATGACAACAAGCGTGGACCCAAGGTATATATGCATGGACGTGCACGCCGCCCACCGGCTAGGGGGCCCTGCTCCGGCGCCTCGGCCGCTAGGGCCGCCGTCGGCCCGGCCCTGCCGCGCCGCAGGCCCGAGCGGTGAGGAGAGTGAGCTCGTGAGGCAGGCAGCCGCAGGCAGGAGAGGGCAGGAGCGGGCCGCGAGGGTGTCCGCGGCCCGCCCACCGCGGCCCCCCGGCCTTGGCCTGCTCCGAGAAGCAGGCGCGGCCGCAGGAGGAGCCGCTCTCCGGGAAGTGCATGCGAATCTCTGGGACCCCCCCGGGTTTCCTCGTGGAGCCCAGGAGGGAGCCCACCCGCCCAGCCGCCCGCCTGCCCCGGTCCAGCCGCTCTCGCAGGGGGCCTGCGGGGTCGGGCCTGAGAGGATCTCCCGTGGTTTTGGAAAAGTCGGCCCCATCTCTGCTCCCGGTTGCCTTCCAAAACTCTTTTCTGTTTCCTGTCCGCTGCACGCGTCCTTCTGAGTCTCAGCCCACTTCAGCTTGCATGCTCAGCGCAGAAGTGAGGACAGGAGAGCGAGCAGGCTGAAGAAGGGACAGCGAGCGAGGCCGGGCCAGGCCAGCAGGAGCCAGGCAGGCAGGTGCACAGTGCAGGAGGCAGGCGCAGGCCGGGGCAGCCCGAGCCACGCCGCCTCTGGGTTCCTAGCAGCTGCGGCCCGACTCTCGCCCCTGAGGCGCTGTGTCCCCGGCCGCAGCCGTCCGCTGACACTCTCGCTTACACCGCAGGCTGAGAAGGTGCTGCAGTTCGACCCGGGGACCAAGAACGTGACGGCGCTGCTGATGGAGGCACGGGAGCTGGAGGCCCGGGTCATCATCCTCTCTGCCAGGTGAGGCTGGGCCGGGCCCCTCCCTCCACCTCACCCAGGGCTGCACCTGGGCCACGGGCACTGTGGGGCCGAAGCCGAGTTTCAGCTTCCGAAATGCCATCGCCAGGGAGACCCCCGCGCGCCCCCCCCCGCCCCCCGCTCCCGTGTACACAGCTGGTGCCCTGGCAGATGCCATGCCCTCCACGTGTCCATCCCAACTCCTCCCCGTCGCCTGCCGCCGCTCGCTCCGAGCCGGACGACGGATAAGCCCCTGCCTTTAGGAAGGCAAACACGGCCCGAGGTGATAGACGTGTCACAGGACTCTGGGAACTGGGCGCAGGGAGAAGGCCCAGGGAAGCGGGAAGTGACATGTGCGCAGGTGAGCCCAGTCGAGAAGGCCACAGCGGGGAGAGAGCCAGAGTCCGAGGACGGGAAGACTGCAATGGTCAGAGTGGGCAGCACGGAGAAGGGAACCAGTCAGGGACCTGTGAACACCAGGCCGCCGCCAGACAGGGCCTGACCCACACCTCGACTTTGGAAATGAGCCCCTAGGGAACCTCTCCCTGTCTGTAAATGGCTAGGATCTCCCGGGAAGGGAGAAGGCAGGCCACCCGGAGCAGGAAAAGGAAGAGCCCCGCTCCACGGAACAGCCAGGAGGGCCTGGGTGGGCACGGCCCCCCGGCCACCCCTTCCTAGAAGCACTGCCAGGCTCCAACAGAGCGGGGGACCAACGGGGGTCACCTCACCCAGAGAAGCATTCCCCAAATGCTGCTCTCCGGCAGACCACAGACAGACAGACAGACAGACAGACAGACAGCAATACGCCGAGGCTCAGGACAGGTGTCCGTTGTGCATTCAGTCAACAAATCTCTGACACAGAGCCGGGCGCCCCACCTCGAGGTGCAGGAGCAAAGTGGGGCCAATCAAGGCTCCTTGGGCCGGAAGGCAGGAAGCCCTCACTCACCACTCACCCACGTCACGGGCCACTTGCCAAGCCAACCATCCGACCCTGGGCGCTTGGGGAGGAGAAAGGTTTGAGGGCTTGTCCAGACAAGGTCAGGGGGCTGCACGGTCCCTCCCAGAACAAGCCCCTCCAGGAAGGTGCCACCAGATCCTCTGATTGGTTCTATTCCCCCTCACCCATCATAGGGCTTGAGACAGACTCCGTGGGTGCAGTGGGGTGAAGGGTGGGTGGATGGGCCAGTGGACGGGCAGGTGGGCAAGCAGACGGTCAGCTGGCAGCCAGAAGGCCCCTTCCCCCGGGACAGAGCAACTCGAGGAACTCATTATGCCAAAACATAGATGTTCAACCGTTGGGCGCTTTTACAAAGGATGAGGTCACGTCAGACTAGACCCGTCCAGCCCACACGCTGCGATCAGAGTGGCCACCGGGACGCAGGCCAGAAAGCCACAGGTAAAACCGACCCACGCAGTCCCACCACACCCGGGTCCCGGCGGAGGGGTGGGTGCTTTCTGATCGGTTTTCGCCTGGTCAGCGAGATCCCACACCGCACCCTGAAGCCCCCTGAGCTCGGGCTGGGAGGGGCTCACCCTGTGTCGCCAGCCCCCAGGGTCAAGGAGGGGGGGTTTGGCAGATGTGAGTCCAACAAAAAGGCCAGCCCGGGGAAGGTCACACTAGACAGTTGCACACACACCACACACACAGGGCCACGTGCACGAGTACGCGAGCACACACCGTATAACGCCACACGTACACACACATCATCTGCACACGCACACCTCAGCAAACGGGTGCACACCGGCACACGGCATATTCACACCAGTCACACACATACACATATACACACACGTTCACACACTCACCTGCACAAATACCACGTACGCAGCACACACAACACGTACCGAGCACACACACGCCACATGCACACACGTTGTGCACGTGCTGTATAGACACGTGCATGCCATATACGCACTCACAAGCTTGCACGCTCACACCCACACATCCATACACAGTGCACACACACGTACCTTACACATATGCACACAAGCCATTCACACGCACAGACACCATATGTGCGCATACAGGCTCACCACACTTATGTGCAGACATATGCACACCTGCACACAGGTGCGTGCACCCCACACACGCACGTACTCCACACCCGCATGCACAGAGCACACGTGTTCCTGCGTGCATACGCACACACACCCCACACGCGCACACGCTGCCGACAAAGGCACGGCACTCGTATCGACCACACAGCCACCAACACCCCCTCTTGAATTCCTGTAAGGCCCCCCGCCTGGACTGTTAAGACTGGAAGAAACCCCTCCGCTCACATACGGGGCTCCTTGGAGCAGAGACGCCCCAGTCCCACGACAGAGGCTAGCCCGGCCCCCAGCACTCCCAGCTCCCCAGGAGCGGCACCTACAGGCCTTCCTGACCCTGGGACCTCCCCCCACACACTGGCTCCTCCTTCTTGAGGGCTGTTGAGAGCACTTTGCAGAGAGACCTCATTAAGCCAGTCTTCATTTCTGAGCCATTTCCTATGGAGGGCGGAGAAGTCGTTCCTCAGACTTTTCATTCCTATCTTCCGGAGATTGTCTCCTCTGGGGCCAATTACTTCCCTCAAACAGTTTTGATGGATCAATCAGGATTTTGTGCACAACTTTTTACTGGCGATACCGATATACACAGACACGAGCACAGGCGTGTGCTTGTCCCGTTAAGTCAAAAGTCACAGACCTGCACTGTGTCAAGCAGATGAGCTTCTCTGCCAGGTTTTGTGAGCACCACTGACAGGGGGCACAGGTGCCCCTCCACACACAGTGCTGGTCTTTCCGGGTCATCTTGGCTCGATATTCTCCTTTGGCCTTGGGTACGGGGCTGCCTGGAGTACCTCTGTTTGCGTGGCTTATGTCTGAGTAGCATGTCACGTAGAGCAAACACTGAAGGTCTTGGCTCATTCTTGAGAAAATTGAGGGCAGACCCCTTAGGGAGCCTCGGGCCACCTGGGTTTCCAGAGTCAGCCATTGTGAAAATAACCCAACGCTCAGTCTGTCCAGCCTCTCTGTGCCCCGTGCCCACGCGTTAGAGAGGCGAAGTGCCAGGTGTGGTCTAGGCCTGCGTGGGGCCAAGTCCAGTCCGGCAGAGAAGCAAGCGGTCGTTCCGCACTCCCCCGCCCCGTGGCCCCCATGGCCCTACCGGGCCCAGGATCCTCGTCCTGACCAGGAGACCCCTAGGGGATCAGGTGCACAGGGGCTCGCCTGTAAGGACATCCCGAGAGCTCAGGCTGTCCTGAGCTGCACTGTCCCCCGTGATGGCCCAGTTCTAGGCGGCAGGACACAAAGCGTAACGGGTGCAGCAGCTACCGGCCCCCTCCGGCAGCTTCCGCTGCAGTGCTAGGGGCAGTTCCCAGGCGCTGGGTCCCACCAACATCTGACCCGCCTGGAGAGTCCCCAGCCCCTCGTCTCGCGTGTGTGGACTTGGAGAAGCAGAATGTGCGCAGCCTACCCAGGAGGTCACAGGAGCATGGGCCCTGGGGTGACTGTCCAGACGCAGACCCGGGTCTGCCATTACCGTCACTCGTGTGCTTTGGGTGCCTTGGTTTCCCCTCCTGACACAGGGATAGTACTGATGTCCATCTCGTAGGGATACCGTGAGAATTAAGTAAGAGAGTCCGTGTAACGCGCTCAGAGCAGTGCCTGGTACCGTGAGCAAGTAAGCAATCAATGATCCGTCACCATCTGGGGCGCCGTGACCCTGCTCACCAAGGGGGGAGGGCCAGCAAGAGAGGCCTGGGAAGCTCTGGGGGTCTGGGCCCCGTCACCCCATCCCCACCCTCCACCCGTCACCTCTGCTGTCGGGGTGTGTGTGTGTGTGGGGGGGTGTTCTCCTGGTCCAGGTGCGGGCTGGCGATGCAGGCTGGGACCGGTCACCTGTGTAGGGTCAGTGGGCCCAGCTAGGGGGGTACCGGGGACTGTCCACTCTGCAGCATCACTGGACCCAGGAAGGGCTGGAGGTGGGGGGGGTGCTGGGCCTGTCACCTCTGCAGTGTCTCCAGGCCTCTTTCCAGGGGAGGGAGGGGCTGGGGGGCAGGGCCAGGGCCACACTCCAGAGGAGGACCTGTGAACCCAGAGCATCCACAGGCACAGGTCCGGTGGGGAAGGGCTGGAGGGTTGGCCGGGCCCGTCACCCCCCTCTGCCCCACAGTGAGGACGACGCCGCCACCGTGTACCGCGCAGCCGCGATGCTGAACATGACAGGCTCCGGGTATGTGTGGCTGGTGGGGGAGCGAGAGATCTCGGGGAACGCCCTGCGCTACGCCCCGGACGGTGAGTGCTGGACCTCTCTGGGTCCCGGTGGGCAGGGGTCCCCCACGGACACTAAGCCCACCCCACTCGCCCCAGGCATCATCGGACTGCAGCTCATCAATGGCAAGAACGAGTCGGCCCACATCAGTGACGCCGTCGGTGTGGTGGCCCAGGCGGTGCACGAACTCCTGGAGAAGGAGAACATCACCGACCCACCGCGGGGCTGCGTGGGCAACACCAACATCTGGAAGACAGGGCCGCTCTTCAAGAGGTGGGCGGGGATTGTCTTCAAGAGGTGGGCGGGGACTCTCCTCAAGAGGTGGGCAGGACTCTTCTAGAGGTGGGGGCAGGATTCCCTTCTGGAGGAGGGGCGGGACTCTCTTCTAGAGGAGGGCGGGACTCTCATCAAGAGGGCGGGTTTCTCTTCTACAGGCGGGCGGGACTGTCTTCTAGAGGTGGCTGGGGTCTCTTCAAAAGGAGGGCGGGACTCTTCTGGAGGAGGGGCAGGTCTCTCTTCTAGAGGTGAGGGGGGCGGGATTGTCTTCTAGAGGTGGGCGGGACTCTATTCTGGAGGTGGGTGAGGCCTCTCAGAAGATGAGAGTGGTCGCTCCTCAGCAGGTGGTCCGACATCCTACACGTACAGGCATCTCCCGGACTTCCCCCCTGGCCCCCCATCTGTCTTCCACCACCACCTCCAGCTCCACTGTGATAATCATCTGTCCCATTTCCAGCAGCGACATTAATGTCTCCGATGTCACTGAAATCGTGGCTGCCTCCACTGCTCCTGACCCCGAGACCCACCCCAGCTCCCCAGGGTAGCTGACAGCCCTTGGGAGGAGGCCCCTGCTGCAGATGGGGACAGGGGGCTTCCAAGTACCGAGAACATCAGACAAGGAGCCCCCTAAGGATGGAACCTAAGCCTGTAGGGAGCCAGGGCTGGCCAGATGTCCAAGTGGATGGACATAGTGGGGCAGGAGTTACTTCACAGCACCCTGGACACTGTGCCACTCAGCCTATCACCAGACCCCCTCCCCCCCACTAAGTAGCAGCCGCGGAATCGCATGTGCAGAACCACAGTTATGGCGCCCACAACAGGAGCACACACACAACGGCAGGCTTGTGCAGCAGATGCGCACACACTCGGCGAGGCACGCGGCACGCACACATGCGTAGGGATGCGTCCACACGAGGGCCACGCGTGTTCACGTGTATGGCTCGTGGGCACGCTACGCGTGCACGTACCGACAGGACAGCACATCGGCCCTACTTCCCTTGTTGGTGAGCAGGTTACTGCTCCCTTCCAGGGCTGCTGGGAGGCTCGAGTGTCCCAAAGCGCAGAAGGCCCTCGAATGGGGCGTGGGCTCGGGAGTCGCTGGGCTACCACGGCGGTGCTCTCCGTCTGGTGCAGGCAGGCACAGCGTCTGACTCCCAGCACGAGGGCCTGGTTCCTGCTAACCTCTCCTTGTTGGCACTGAGGCGGAGGGAGGGGCCAGGGCTGCTCAGAAGGCCGGGGAGGGGGAACGTGTCCGGTAAGTGTGCTCGCACCGCCCTCCCCAGGGTGCTGATGTCCTCCAAGTACGCAGACGGGGTGACAGGCCGTGTGGAGTTCAACGAGGATGGGGACCGGAAGTTCGCCAACTACAGCATCATGAACCTGCAGAACCGCAAGCTGGTGCAAGTGGGCATCTACAACGGCACCCACGTAGGTGGGGGTCATGAGGGGGTGGGGGCTGGGGCCTTAGGGTCCTGGGGCCAAGACCCCTGCGTGGCCACCCTCCATCTCATACTCCCACCCCCAGGTTATCCCCAACGACAGGAAGATCATCTGGCCAGGCGGAGAGACAGAGAAGCCCCGAGGGTACCAGATGTCCACCAGGCTGAAGGTGGGGGCCTACCGCCCTGTGCCAGCATCCACACCCAGACACTCCATCCAGCTCCGCGGGCCCACAGGAGGGGACAGTGAGGCCAGTGCAAAGGACCGAAGCGAGTGGGGAATGGACCGGCGCCCGGCTGCCACAGCCCACACCTGGTGACACAGAGCAAGCAGGGAGAGCAGGTGGAGGGAGGAGAGGCAGCTGCTGGGCCCCGTCCCGTGGGCTCTCTCCAGAGCGTCTCTGGATCCAAATGCACTTCAGTCAGGGAGCCGTGTGGGATAGGACTCTCCTGGGGATGAGCTGCTAGGGGACGAGGGACAGACAGAGGTTGTTCTGTGGACTCGAGCTCCTGCACTCATCACCCCTCTGGGGGACCCTAGCCACCCCACCCGCAGTCTTCGCAGCCTCTCACCATGACTGAGTCAAACCGTCCTTTCACCCCTGCGCCCCCCCCCCCCCCCCACACACACAGCATTCTCCATGGCAGGCTGTTCCCTCCTGCCGGGGCCTCTGGGAGACCCTCCTGGCTGGCCTTTCCCCTCACAACTTCTCTTCCTTGCTCCTTTGGGCTCATCCCTGGGCCCCTGTGTCCTCCTCGGCACTCTCGTGAGAGCCCCTCCTGTTACCGGCCCACGGCAGCACTGGGCTAGAATCTTAGATCACCAAAGGCAAAGATCCTAAGTGCCGTGGGCCCAGTGAACCTTCTCCCGGCACGCACAGGTCCTCGAATGTCTCTTGACCTAGTCTCCTTTCTGAGGCCACCCCCTAGGGCCTCTCACCCAGACCCAGGTCAGCACCTGCCCGCAGGTCACCATCCTTCATGACAGGCAGAGCGGGCTTTTCCAAAGCCACCCCGGCTCCTTGCAGTTCGATACCTTGTGTTGGAAAGTGAAAGTAAGAGCCCAAACACCGATGGCCAGATGGTCCAGATGGTCCCATCCGGGCGGCCAGATTCAGATGGCTTTTTCAACTTTTTTTTTTTTTTTTTTGGTCTCAC